GAAATATTAAAACGTTTCTTAAATTAAAAAAAATAAAATAGTAACATCTCCTCCATTTCTTACCTTAAAGTTCGAAGTTGGTACTCCACAACTGAAAAGAAACAAATAAAAGAAACGTTAAAATGTTTCTTAATTAAAATTAAAAAATACTACCTCCTCATTTCTTAGGGGCATGCCAGAAATAAGCTGATTTGAAAGAGAGTGGAGGAGTCAAGCTTCAGATCAGGTCTATATATCACATGATATTTATATATATAAATATAACATAAACTTTTTTTTAATTTATAGCTCTCATTTAGCTCTACAAATCTAGCTTTATAAAACAAAAAAATGTTTTTTCAAATTGAATCACTAGAAGCCAAAATATTTGTATTTACATTATAATAATTATTATAATGCAATTATCTTGACTTCTAGTGATCCAATTTTAATAAACTTTTTTTTAATTTATAGTACCCATTTAGTTCTATAAATCCAGCTTTACAAAACAAAAAAAAGTTTGTTCAAATTGAATCACTAGAAGCCAAGATAATTATATAATACTAATTATTATATATAATATTTAATATTTAATACAGTCAACTCTCTTTATAGTCACACATTTGGAACAGTCCATATTTGGTGATTATAAAGAGATGTGACTATATAAAAAATTTTTTATATTAGTATATCATAATTCCGGCCAAAAATTAACATAATTTTGGCCAAAATTATACTTAAAACTTTATTGTATCATAACTCCACCAATGTTAATCATAGAGAGATGATCTTACCGCCATTCGATTCGTCTCAATGAGACGGTTCTAATGGTATAAAATACATCGAATTCCAATTACTAGATTAATTTCTGAAATTAAAAAAATATTAATGGTTTTTGTGTAATAACTCTGCCAATATTGATCCTAAAGAGACGATCTTACTACCATTCGATTCGTCTTGATGCGNAATATTGATCCTAAAGAGACGATCTTACTACCATTCGATTCGTCTTGATGCGACGAATCTAATGGTATAAAATACATCGAAATCCAATCACTAGATCAATTTCCTAAATTAAAAAATATTAAATGGTTTTTAAGTAGTAACTCCGTCAATATTGATCACAGAGAGATGTGCTTACCACCATTCGATTCGTCTTGATGAGGCGATTCCAACGAGCTATTAATTGTTTTTTTACAATCACTAGGTACCGAGAAATTTAGCAAAATGTTAAATGGCGCAGTAAACGTAAATCAAGAAATATAATAATGCCAATGCTTAACATTTTGTCGAATAATTCATCAGCCAGTGATCATAAAAGGATAAAATTACCACCATTCGATTCGTTTCAGTGAGACGATTCTAACAAGCTATGGTACATCTTTATACGATTATTAGATGCCAAGTTATTTAATATATTCTTTATATAACTGTGATTATAAACGGTTCTTTTTAATATAAGATTTTTGAGTTGACTGTCGGTAGTAATAATTTTTTTAGCCAATCAGATTTCAATCAGGTAGGAGTGGGGGTAACTACCCTAGCGTTCCCCCAAAAAAAAGCACTGGTGGCTGGCATTATGCGGAATTATGCACTGTCACGTGAACAGTGCGGTGACAGATAAGGTGTGACGACTAAGTTTTTTTCAACTCGAAAAAAACTAAGTCCCTCAGATAAATATAAACAATGAAAACACTGAGGGGTGTGATGGATGTGATGATTTTTTACTTGGACACGTGACCAGTGCTTTTTTTTGGGGGAACGCTAGGCTAGATGAGTGGGGTTAAGGCTACTCATTGAGAGAAATCAGCTGATTTCTGGCATGCCCCTTACCTTAAAGTTCAGTTTCATGCTCAAGCCGACACCTTACAAAAGAAATAATTAAAAGGAACGTTAAAACATTTCTTAAATTAAAATAAAAAAAAATAACTCCTCCTCTTTTCCCATTTCTTACCTTAAAGTTTGTTTCATATCCAAGCCATCACTTTACAAAAGAAATAATGAAAACAATGAAAATAAAGGCTTTAACATGAAACGCGTATAAATAACTAATTAATTGACTAATATGATGTAATTGTAAAGCCTGATCAGCCAATCAGTGATATAAGGATGAGTAATAACTGATCTCACCCCAGGGTGAGAAATAAATTTTCTCTAAATTTATTAGGCTAAAGAAATAAAATTATTTGTTTCTCATGAAAAAAAATTGCTAAATTTAACCTGACCGTCCAGAAAAAAAATTTATTTTCAAAAAAAAATTTAGCTGATTCCTAAAAGATGATTGGTTGATTTAATAAATTTTTTGCCTGGGTTTCCGGGTGGAAAAAAAAATTATTTTTTTATGATTATGATTGGTCAAAACCAAAATCACATGACCAAATAAAATAAATTTTTTTATCTTTTTGCAACATTTACATGACCTACCCGATCATGAGAAACGAATAAATTTATTTACTTGGCCTTATTCTTATATAAATGATAATTTATATTTGCTTTAATAAAATTATTTTTGTGTAAAAAAATTAGATTTTAAGAATTAGCCCATATATTTTAAATATAAAATAAAATTTTAAGCAAAAATATTTTTTATAAGGCTTCTTTTTCTTTAAGTCTTTGAATGCATATATTATAGTATATATTTTTTTTTCTTATTATAATAAAATGTTAATCTAACAATTTTATTTTTTTTTAGACAAATCTTTAGCTTTTTGAACATAATATTTCAGTAAGTAATTTTTTTCTTTTATTTATTTTAATAAAATATTTATTAATATTTTTATTTATAAAATTGCTATGAATCGCCAGTGTTACATGATTTTTAATAATGTATAATTTGTCACCCCGCATCACATCCTCCTTGTTTCCATTTTTACTATGTATTCCAGAGACTTGAATTTTTTTCGTCACACTCTATAATTCCAGCCAAATTTTAAATTCTGGCCAAAATATCCTTTTTTGGAAACTTAAGTAATGTTATACCATCCAAAAAAGGCAATTTTATTTTTCATAAAAATTGGGAATAGGTTACACCCTATTCCAAAAAAGGCAATTTATATATCAATCATTTAATTTCAGCCAAAATTAAAAAATCATATGACACCGATAATCGCCACCAGCAATAAATAGTAAACTCCTTTTATTTATTACTTTTTTTTTAATTAATTTGCTCTTCAAGTCTGAATATGTTAGATTTGGTAAGCTATTATTTTTACTTTATTATTTGTTAACAAAATGAATAAAGCATTTTTTAATATTACTGATGTTTTAATTTTTTTTTAGGCAATCAGATCATTGAATGTATAGATTTCAGTTAGTATTAGAATTTTTTTGATTATTAATATTTTTATTTTTTTTTTTAAATAGTCAAGTCTTTAAACATGTAGAATTTTGATAAGGAGAATTCAAATATTTTTTTTACTGATCTCTATATGTATAGAATTTTGCAAATTTTTAATTTATATAATAAAAAGAACTTTAAAAAGTAAATTAGTCATAATATAAAAATCTGTATATCATTATATATAATAAAATAGAAAAATGTATAAATATAATAATAAAATAATGTATAGACTAGTTTTCTTCTTATATGATTTAATCTAGGTAATATCATTTATGTAAAATAAAAAAAATAGTAACCAGATTTAGATTAGTTAGGATTAGGATTAAAGTTAAAATTGGGTTAAGATTGGAATTAGAATTAGAATTAGAATTATGGTTAAGGAATTAGGATTAAGATAAGATCTGGGTTCGCTGAAGTTATTAAATTTGATGATGTTATTTGGAAAATAAAATTTACAGTTATAAAAGTGATAAATTTTAATTTTTTTTACAGATGACATTACCTAGATGCCATTTTTCAGAGAGAAAGTTAGTAAAATTCATAAAATAAATATAACAATAAAAATTATAGCATAATAAAATATTAATATTAAAATAATGTTTATTATATAATTAATTTAAGTATTTTAGTTATATTAATTTCTATTAATCAATTATTAATAATAAAAAAATAATGTTTATCAAATACAAGATGCATTAAAACTGGTTTAATAAGCATTTAAATTAAATATTTTTAAAGCAAGCATTTAATAAATAGTTAATAAATGCTTAGTTTAACTTTGTGATATATAATTTTATAAAAAAAATGAATTAATACTTTTATTTCCAGATTTGTCAATTTTATAATTTGTTTCATTTTTAATAATTCTGACATCTTTTTACTGTTTTTTACAAATATTTTGCAATATTTTTTAATTATTTTAATAAAAAATGGTGCAAAAACATTTTTTATTAAGCAATTTAATTTATTTTTGCAATATTTTTTAATTCTTTTAATAGAAAATGTTGCAAAAATGTTAGTTAATTTGTTATTGATGATTACTGAAACTGATTAATTTCAGTAATTAACAATACTATTAGGATGCTGTTAGATATTACCTAATATTTTAGGGGGAAGGAGGGTAACTAAAAATCTTAGGTTACATACAATATTATATAAGAAATTATATATATAACATATCTTACCCAGAGGTATACTTGCCGTTCAAACTAAAATTCTGTAAATGCCCACCCAAACCCAAATCCCATGGGATTTGGTGTAATGTCAAAACTAGAAAAATTAAGTTTGAACGGCCATAACTGGACAAATCAGCTAAACCTGGATAAATTGGATAAATATGGACAAATTAAACAAAATTCCAAATCCAAACTGAAATAATCTGGACAAAGTGAATATCCCAAATCCAAACTAAATTTCAAATTTACGATTCAATTTATTATTTATAAATTTATTAATTATTACAATTATGTATAACAGAAATTACAATTTTATATTAAAATTTTAATAAAAATAAACTATCTTAATCATCATGTAACAAGTCTTTAATATTAAAATTTTTGTCTCTAAATTCAATTTTTGATTCATTTATATTTGCTTAATTTTCATTAATAGAACCTAATTGATTTATATTTAACTAAATTAATTTGCTTATTTCCAAATTTAATCCATTTTCATTTTGCAATTACAAATCATTATTCTCTTCACTGTCATCATCAAAAACTGGAAATGAATCATTATCCTCAAATAAATTGATACCTTCTTTCATTACTATAGTAATTTGGTTAAAAGCAGTGGTGAATTCATCTTGACTGATGTTATTATTAATAAAATTTAATTCACTTGGAGCATTTGCAATTAAAAAAGAATGGATTTAAGCCAATGATTCCAAATGAAATATATTCATTCTAAATATTTAATTAATGATATTTTTAGATATTAACATTAAGATGATTAAATAATATTAGAAAGGAATTTAAATTTACTTATTTTGTCTCTTACATAAATTGGGGGAAATCCATATTAAATTTGTCATTTGTCTATCAGATTTTGGATTGGTCTGAGTTTGGCCATTTGGAATTATAAGTTTTTCCAGTTTTTCCATCATGGGATTTTAGGAAGTGCTGGAAAATCCCATTTGTCCTGATATTTCCACTGGACAAATCCCAAACTTTTGGGTTTGAACGGTAAGTATACCCAGGGGAGGGGGGTAAACTCTTATATTAAAGTGATATTAGGTAATATTTGATAGTACCCTTATTGATCAATTTAATTTAATTTCAATTTGGCAAAAACTATACTAAATTAAACCAATCAGAGCTCTACATTTATCAAACTGTTTATTAACCTATTAAGAAACTGGATCATAAATTAACTTATTTACCTATTAAGAAAAATTCAAATCTGTTAAATTTCAAATAAAATGCCCAAACTTTTTTAGCAATTTTTATAATTTTCTTAGTAATACCATCAAAAATTTAACTATCATATGATTTTTGTCCTATATTATAGTTAAGATTATTAGAAAAACTAAAGGGTTTTAGCAAGTTAACAAAATGTTAAAATAGTAAAATTTTATTAAAAAAATAGTAAAACTTTAAAGAAAAGCAAACCCTGATGAAACTTATTATAAATACTAAAACTGCTAAAACTTTGACAAAACTATAATAAAACTATAGTAAAATCATAAAAAAACTAATTATAGAATTTTAAAGAAGTTTAGGTAAGCAATCTTGATTTTATAGTATTATGTACTAATATATAAAAATAAACAGTAATAAATAAAATGTGACAAATAAGTTTTTATTTACTTAAAAAAACTACCGTATATAGTGGGCCACAGTACCCCAGGTATCTTGCAAAAATCGGGGGTTTGACCCTGTACCCCCGGTGTCACCCCCGTCTGCCACCCGGTGGTAAACAAAGTTTCCTGCTTCTGTTATATGTGCTCTCAGCGAAACATTAATATTCTCGCTTGGTTTAGTTTTATTACTACTTAACTTTCTAATTGCGATAGCTCTCGCCACGATATTTCATCCATTATCTTCTTTCAAAATACGATAGTTCTCTTTACAAAAGTTTATATTTTATTCATTTCATAATTCTTGTTATGACATTAAATTCACCATGAATTTGTCCAATTAAAATTAATTAAGCGAACATTACAATAAAGTTTAGGGCGAACCTATTACCTTTAAAATAACATTACGCTTTACTGACAATTAATTAAACAAAATTACTTTTTCATCATAAGAAAATAGTAACAAAAACAATCGAAACAATTAATTTTCATATAAAGGGTATTTTATTTATTCTTCATAAAATTCACAATTAACTAATTTACTTAAAGTTTTACATCGTATCTGACGACTGTCGAATTCGCTTCCCATTCCGCTCCTATTTAAACCAACTTTCTTATTCTTTCTTTTCTTACTTCTTATTTCTTTCTAATATTTTATGTTATGTGTTCTTTTTTATGCGTTATCTTATATGCTATTTATATATTATCTTTTCTAATATGTTATACTATTTTAATATGCTATCTTTTCTTTAAAATAATCTTTCAAATATTATGTCGTAAAGATATAATCCATCTTTTGTGGCTGTGCTATCTTTTCTTTAAAATAAAATAATCTTTTAAATATTATATCGTAAAGATCCATCTTTTGTGGCTGTTCTATCTTTTCTTTAAAATAAAATAATCTTTTAAATATTATATCGTAAAGATCCATCTTTTGTGGCTGTTCTATCTTTTCTTTAAAATAAAATAATCTTTTAAATATTATATCGTAAAGATCCATCTTTTGTGGCTGTGCTATTTTTTCTACTGCGTCTCGTCAGCTATTCTTCTACTACGGCTGCAGTTCATCAATATTTTACATGTTTTTATTTTTTTGTTCCTTTAATTCGCTATCATTCCTTTTTATATGATTATCATTTGTGGCTTATGATTACTCCTCCTAATTGTTCTTATTGTTGAACTTGATAAACTGGTCGCTAAGCCACATCGATCAACTCCCTACTTGATCTATTGATTCTCCGTTAATCATTTAATAAACATTACATCATGTAGATCATTCCTTCTCCTAAAAGTTTATCCTTTCCGGTTAATTTTATCCAATCATGTGACTTTCTATCGTTTTATCTTTCATTCCATATTATTCCTCCATATTATGCGATTACTTCAGTATCTATGGCTACACTGGGTACTAAACAAAGCCTAAAAATTCCGTTTTTTGTGAATATCTCATGATCTACTGGTCCAATTTGAACGATCTTTTTTTTATTTTGAAGAGCTCAATGAGAGCTATCAAACAAAAAAAGATGGCTCAAATCTGATCACTAGATCACGAGATAATTGTAAAATATCCCCCTGGGTACTATACAATTCTATGAAATTTTTCAAGGGGGGTACTATGCATAGGGGGGGTACTATGGCCTGCGATATACGGTAAGTTCTTTAAATAAATATATATAAATATCTGATATGGCAAAATATCTACTGTCATATAATAGTAAAATTCTGGAAAAAATTGATTTTTATGTGAAAATCATGTGATATGTGATCTGAATTATAAATTAAACAAACTTTAATTAGCATTAAAATATAACAAATTTCTTATTTAAGTTATTTGTAAGTTGGTAAGATATAATATTACATTTGAATCATTAAAAATTTGAAATATATCTTCTTAATTACCATTTAAATCATTATCTTTCAATATATATAATTTTTTATATTATAATTAAAAAAATTAAAAGAAATAATAAAATTAATAAGAAAATATATAAAAATATGAGAAATATAATAAAATGATTAATATAATAATAAGAAAATAAATGATATTACAAATATAAACTTTTCTCATTATTTTTCATATCAATATTTATTTCAGATACTTGAATATATTTATTACTTTTTTTTCAATAAATGAAAATTTATATAATCACATTTAGTTTTAGTTTATATATAATATATATCTATCTGCCAAAAGTATTTGGACACTTCTAAAAAATGACCATTAAATTACATTATTTTAACATTCAGTGATCAGAATTTAATGATTTTGATTCATTGAATTTGTCTAATTGAGACGCATCTAACTGCAGTATTTTCAAGTCTGTAAGATCAATAGATCAAAAGTTATTACTGATAGTAAAATGCAAATAACTTTTGATCTATCAATCTTAGCGATATGAAAATAATAGATATAATGTAACTTAACAAGACAAATTTAATGAATTATATTTCATCTTTCTAAGTTTGATAGAGAAGAAAATGTTGTGAAATTTGTATATGTCAAATTTTTAAAAATAAATAATGAATTATTTGCATTTTACTGTTGAAAATAACATCTGATCCATCAAATTTAAAGACATAAAAATATTGCAATTAGATTAATCTTGTTTATTGAATCATAAATAACTAAATTCTGTTTACTAGTTATTGAAATAATGTGATTTAACTTTATAAATAAAGTAATTTATTTTTCATCTTTAAAAATTTAACAAATACAAATTTCACAACATTTTCTTCTCTATTAAACTTAGAAAGATGAAATATGATTCATTAGATTTGTCTTACTAAGGTATATTATATCTATTATTTTCATATCTCTAGAATTGATAGATCAAAAGTTATTTTGCATTTTACTGTTTAAGACATTTAGTAATAACTTCTGATCTATTAATTTTACAAACTTGAAAATACTGCGGTTAGATGCGTCTCAATTAGATGAATTTAATGAATCATAAATTATTAAATTCTGATTACTAAATGTCAAAATAATGTGATTTAATGGTCATTTTATAGAAGTATCTGGATACTTTGGCAGGTGGATGTATATATCTGAAAATATTATATTTTTTTAAGTATTAATAAAAAAACGTTATAAGTAAATTTTTGATGGTAATTTTTTTTTTTATTGAATTATACTTTAGTTTTTATAAATTTATAATTTATATTAATGTTTTTTTTATTATAAATAATTATTTTTGTTGATAATATTTTATATTTTTTCCTCTTTTTCTTTTTTGCACCTTTAAATTTTTCAAATAATATTTAATAAAAAAAAAAAAAAAAAATATCAAAAATCTATATGTATAATGTATAATTCAAAATTATTTATTGCCTAATACTTATTTGCTTATATTGTAAAATAAAATACTAATTATTATAATTTTTTATTAGGTCTATTAAGTATAATTTATATCTTATTAGGAAAAAAAGCAGCAAATTATCCAAATAAATCGCGTAGATTGTGCCAACAGCATGTGTAACTTGAATTCAAGAAATTTGACTGGAAATTTAGATGTAGAAAGGTAATCACTGTTTTTTAGGGTATCACTTTTTTTAAACTTCATTATGTCCAATATTATAGTGCAGCCTGCAGACTTTTATCCTATTATCAAGGTTTTTTCTTGAAATTTATTTATTAGTTTAAATACATATTGGATATATTGAATAAATTTTTTTTTTTTTAAACAAAAAAAACTTATTCTTTATAAGTTCGGATGTGCAGCTGGTAAAAGTTTAAATCCGATCAAGAATCTTACAATGGCCTCAGAGAAACTCTTATCTGAACAAGTTACAAAACAGACTTTACCCTCTCAAGCTTCCCAAAATTCATTAGCAAAAGCTTCTACTATACCTTCTGAATTGATCCTTCAGATTTTCAAATATGTTACCTCTACTGCCGACCTAAAATCTTGTATTCTTGTTTGTAAATCATGGTGTCGCTGTGGGGTTGAACTCTTGTGGCATAAACCAGTATTTACTGGATATGGTTCTCTCATTAAACTACTAGTTACTTTATCACGAAGTACACAAACTTTTCCGTATGCTCTCCTTATCCGTCGCTTAAACTTCTCCTTTTTGGGGGAGCATGTAAGCGACGAAATATTAAAACGTTTAAGTTCTTGCGAAAGATTAGAAAGACTAACTCTTGGAGGATGTAGAAGACTTACAGATAATGGACTCCTAAAATTATTAGATAAAGCAGATGGGTTAGTTGCACTAGATGTATCAGACATTGAAAATTTGACGGACGCAGTTGTAGAACTAGTAGGTGAACGATGTCGAAGATTGCAAGGATTAAATGTGAGCTTATGTAAAAAAGTTTCAGATAAAGGTATCTTGGCTGTCGCGTCAAAATGTAGGAGTCTGAGAAGGGTATGTATTGTAATTTAAAAGATAAAAATTGTGCCGATATTACACAACAAAGGTTTATAACAGCATTAATTTTTTTCTTACGTGTGGTTTTTTTATTCGTATTATTATCCAATTATTAATATAGATAAAACTTAGCAGTTGTGACATTATTACTGATGAATCCGTGGTTATTTTGGCTAAGAATTGTCCGCACCTTCTTGAGCTTGATCTCACCAATTGTAATCAAATAACAAATGATGCAATCCAACCCGTTTTCGAAAACTGTACACAATTACGCGAGCTTCGACTTGCTTGTTGCACCAAACTTACTGACGAATCTTTTACAGAAACTATGCCAGCCTTGTACGAACAATTACGTATTTTAGATCTTACATCCTGTGCACTCATCACTGATCAAACTTTACTCAAAATTGCACATAGTGCACCCAAGTTACGTAATCTTGTTCTAGCAAAATGTGGTAATATCACAGACGAGGGAGTTTATCATATAACTCGTTTGGGGAAGCACTTACATTATCTTCACTTAGGTCATTGCTCGCGTATCACAGATCATTCAATAACTCATCTGGCTCGTCATTGTACACGGTTACGATATCTTGATTTGGCCTGCTGTACTCAACTCACAGACGCGTCAGTATTTGAACTATCACATCTTCCTAAATTGCGTCGTATTGGATTGGTAAAATGTGCTCTTATAACAGATCAAGCAATCTATGCCTTGATTGAAAACCGGGTCGTACAGCATACGTTAGAACGTGTGCATCTGTCTTACTGTGTAAATCTTACCGTTCCTGCAGTTTTAGAATTAGTAAATTCATGTTTTCGTTTAACACATTTATCTCTTACTGGTGTTCCAGCCTTTTTACGTCCAGAAGTTCAACAATTTTGCAGACAAGCTCCCAAAGAATTCACACCACATCAAAGACAAGTGTTCTGTGTTTTTAGTGGGAAAGGGGTTAAAGACTTAAAACAATATTTGAATAGTACGGTTATAGCACAACAAAGAAATAATCGAATTGCTAATGGAGTTGGTAACATAAATGATCAGGTCGTCGGTCCAGTTGCAGCTGTTAGTGCTGACATTGAGGAATCCGTAGTTTCTGAAGCAGAAGGAGTGGGTGGGGATATATCTGAGGGTGGAGAGGGTGAGAACGAAAATAGGCACAGCCAGAATGATAATAGAAATAGGAATCGTGTCTCGGATCGTAATCCTGAGGGTGAAGATGGAGATGTTGGAAATGCACTCTTGGATTTTTGATTGTGAAAAAAATAAACATTAATATTAGAAGTGCCTTACGATGAATGTGATATGGCAATAATCGCTTTGCTTTAAAGCAAATTCATATATTCAAATTTCTTCTATCCGTTAATCTGTGGCATTTAGTTGTTTTTTATATTATTATTATGAATAATTGGTAAATATTGTGCAATGAAAATATAAATACGAATGAATAGACATAATTGGGTACAGCTTTGTCACAAAAACACTGTATTTACGGGTTTTCTTTATATTGTAATGCATATTCATGAAAGTCTCATTAGTCTCATTAGAAATGTTATATAAATGTTAACATCACTTTAAATATTATAAATATTACTAATTCGAAAACAAATTTTTTCAACAATAACATATAATATATTATAGCTTAGAGAACTTTGGTTTTCTTCTCCCCATAGTAGCATCAACAGCTTCCATCAAATCCTTTAGTACATAGGGAATAAAAAATTTAGATTGAATAAATAATCATAAAGAGAACTTTTTATATTTTACCTACACTACTATTTAGCATTGCTCCATTCCAAGCTGCAGTGTAGGCAAGACCTTCAGCGACAGAATGATCGCGGGAAAAATTTAAAAGATGCCTAAATAAATAATATAATTAGAATGAACCTTCGATGTTCAAAAATATAATCATGCTAAATATTACTTTGCTAAATATTACTTTGTACTTAATATAGCTATTGGAGACTTGCTAGCAATAATATTCGCCGTTTTTAATGCTTCCGCTATTTTCAAAATTATTATAAGTAAAATATAAATATAAATAGTATATATATAATATGCTTACTTAAAGCTTCTTCTTTAGTACTAAGAACTTTATTCACAAGACCAATATTAAGCGCCTCGGTTGATGAAAAACTTACAACAAAATAAATACATATGTTAGTGTGTACGAAATAGAAACAATGCAAATAGTTCATCACATACTTTCGCCCTGTTAAACATAATTCTCTAATAAGACTGTTGTTACCAACAATTTTAGGTAAACGTTGCAATGTGCCTATTATTTAAAGATAAGACGATTAATTCGTTAGGAAGAACATAATATTTGAAAGGATCCATCTTACCAACATCAGCTGCAAGACCGAGATCGACTTCCTAGTCAAGAAAATTATAATGAAAAATAAATATATACATTCATATATATATATGTTAATGAAATTAGCTAACCTTGACACTAAAAAAGGCGTCTTTTGAGCAATATCGAATATCACAAGCCGTAATCAAATCAACTCCAGCTCCAATGCATCCATTATGAATAGCAGCAATCACTGGTTTGTCACATTGTTCAACTGATGAAATTGAATCTTGAGTTACCTTTATCATTATAAAATATTATATAGCTTATGAGCAACAGTCAACAGTGTAAGTTAATAATTATATAGGATAAAATCACCATACAAGCAATTCCTTTCGTGTGTTTAAAGCACGACGTGCAAAATCTTTTTCTTCAGCATTATTATTTATCCCTTGTAAATTATTTACTAAAAGGTTTATAATACATATTAGTTCACAATAAAAACATAATATGAAATAATTAAGATAACAAACAGTCTATCCCAGCGTTGAATAATTTGCCAGCTCCTGATATTACGACAGCTCTAACGTCTGAATCTAATGCTATTTGTTTGAAACAAGCGTGCAACTCTTGCCAAGAACTAAATTTTAAATATATACTTTATTGTTAAAAATTTTTATTTTAGAAACCAAAATTTAAAGAAACTAGACGGACATTCGATCAAAAGCGTTTAGTTTAGTGGGTCGATTGAGCTCCACATGAAGCACAAATTGAGACGGAAAATTTATTTTTAAATTTTTGAAAGTAGAGTAATCCTGCATTTTTTTTTTCTTACATGCAAAATTCGTAGTTTATAAAATGATGATCTTTCTAGATCATGTGAATTTTATCTATGAACGTATTTCATTAAACGTGATTCATTTAATTTTAATATTGCTAAAATAATGGGAAAAGATACAATAAAATGATGATAAGCTTTAACATATGCATTGCATAAAACAGATTTTTAAGATAAAAGAATATAAATATATATTTGTAAGAAACTAAAACCTTCCATTCAATAATCAAATGAATATATATTAGTCTACTCCCACGGCACTTTGTTTGGATTCCATGCTTCGTTATTTGATTGTGGTGGTGGTGGTACATTACCCCAACTGTCTGGACTGGGGGTCGCCTCATCTTGGCGACGTGGGTTCCTTTTGGTTTTTTTGGCAATTTTAGATCTGAGTTGAGAAGGGCTTGCATTACAACTATAATTAATAAAATCCATCATACCTGATATTATCGTCATTATTCCCTTTGTAGGGATTTTGCTGAGAACGGTTATCATTAGGGGGGCCACTGTAGCCACTAGCTCCGTATGATGGCGCTCGTTGTGACGATTGTGTATTATAACCGTAAGTTTGTTGTGGAGTCGTACCATATTGATTATTTGTCCTTGGAAGATTGACATTGACTACAGATTGTGTGCCACCATATTTAAAGATGTGGATATTGTGAAGAAGGTTGCATGTTATGATTGTGTATATTGTGCCATACCTTGTGGTTGTGGTTGTTGGAACGATTGAGGAGATCGGAAAGATTGAGACTGCGGTTGTTGTTGATAAGATTGGTAAGGACGTTGCTGTGATGCATTATACGTATCTTGGACCTGTGAAAATGAGCAGCAGCCGATAAGTTAAGTTATTTCTGAAGAGTTACGTAAAAAGTGATATTGACATTCGATACCATTGAAGAATTCATAGGTTGCTGATTTTGTGGTGGGCTTGTTTCCCATGTAGGTTTTGAGGGATCCCAACTCGGTGCAGGATCATCCGAATTTTTTGCGTTATCCCAACTATTATTGCCTGCGGCCCGATTATTATTATCCCATTGAGTTTTACCAGCGTCCCATGAAGACTTTTGGTTACTACCATTATCCCAATTTTCGTGTCTATTATCTTGTGTATTTCTAGCATAATTAGAAGTCGTCGAATTTTTTTCTCCGTCGTCGTCATCTTCGAAATTTCTTAATTTTAATAAAACAATGCGTAAGTAAATGTTCTTAAGAAAATTTAAAAAAAGTAAACGTGAAAAAAATAATTACAAATTATTATCAGGGGGCATATATGATTGCAAAAAATGTGGAACTTCTTGTTTGCATTCCACCAGAATCTTTACTAGTTCGGTAGCAACCTCTGAATTTTTCTCGTTATAAAAGGTAGTAGCCAACCCTTTATTGCCAACACGTGCCGTTCTTTAATGATTTGAAATATAATAATTAATAAAATATCAAAACAAATGTATAATAAAATGACAAAATTAATTGATTGATTATTTACGTACCTTCCAATACGATGAACATACTCATCTATTTCATTACAAAGGTCATAATTAATAACATGCATCACGTTTTTGATATCGAGTCCTCGAGCTGCAACAGCTGTAGCAATTAAGATAGGAGATTTTCCAGTTCTATTACAAGTGAGGATTATAAGAATCGATATTGTCATTTGCATTATTTATAAAGTAATTGAATATAACTTACTTAAACGCTAATAATGCATCTTCCCTTTCGCGTTGATTACGATCTCCGTGAATACTTGTTGTTGGAAAATTTTGATTATACAAGTAATCGTCAAGCGAATCAGCTCCACGTTTTGTTTCAACGAATATGAGGGTACGAGATGGTGGTTGCTTTAATAATAACTCGACAAGAGAATTACGTTTATTTTGATCTTCAACAAACATAATCTATACAATTTATCGATTACTAATTATATTAATAAAATTAGCACTATTGTCATAATAACTGAGTAGCAGATCTACCTTTTGAGTGATATCACTTGTAGTACCACCCACTCGACCAACTTTTAAGAACAAATGATTTTCCGCTAAAAAATCTGTAGCAAGGGTACGGATCTGCCTTGGAAATGTGGCAGAAAACATGAGCGTTTGCCTGGACCCGTCCTCGCATAAATCTAAAAATTTCATAAATAAATTAAACATATTAAATATAAAATCCATCTTTAACTGACTAACCTGATTTTTGTACGATTTTTCTGATATCGGTTTCAAACCCCATATCTAACATGCGATCAGCCTCGTCAAGTATGAGATATCTTTATATCAAAAGTAATAATAAAATTGATAAATGGAGTAGACATCAAATACATCCAAAAACCTTAAATACTCACTTGACTCTACGAAGGCTAACAATCCCTCTTTCAAGAAAATCATTTAATCGACCTGGAGTTGCTGTTAAAACATCACAACCTTTGGCCAATTCGATTTTTTGGGGAGCTACCTCCGCACCACCATATACGACACTTAAATCATTAACAGTTAAACAATTAATCGTCTTATATTTAATAGACTCAACAATAAAACGAGAGAATCAAACCAACCAAGGTCTCAACATGCTTCTATAAGTAAATCGACGACACTCATCGAATATCTGAGTAGCCAATTCTCTCGTAGGAGCGATAATCAAAACTAATGGTTCAGCTTTGAACCTACGTGCTCCAGATTGGGGGCGGGGAGCAGCAAGTTTTTTGGCTTTTCCGAACAATTTAGATAATGTTGGAATAAGAAAGGCTGCAGTCTTACCAGAACCTATTAAATAAAAGGTTAATAATAATGACAGGCTTATTGAAAATAACATAAGAACATACCGGTCTGAGCGCACGCCATTAAATCGTTCCCATCAGTAATGATAGGTATTGAATATTTCTTTGAAGGAATAATAACATTTATTAATCGCACGTTAAATTTCGTATATACCTATAACGCGACCATTATTAACAATACCTGAACCGGTGTAGGGATAGTATATTTAGCCAGCCTAATATTTTCCTTCATCACTGGATGAAGTTCTGCTTCATCAAACTATAATAATGTGAATGTTAAAAAGTATCGGGAAAAAAGTGCGTTTTGGTACATATAATATAACTAACGTATTACTAAACTCACCGCTTCTACTGGCCTTATTCTATTTTCGGGCGTGACAGAGACTTTAATTTCTTGATATTTGTCAAAGTTGATACCTGTATGTACATGATTCTCTTCTCCAAAAAGTTCTGTCTCCAACTCTGGATCTGTTGGAGCGATATCATCATCATAAGTGTCTTTCCACTCATAACGACGGCTCTGAGCCGCCCATTGCCGATTTGGATCAACGTGGTGTTTCTGTCGTGGACCCCATTTTCCAACGCTATTAACTTGATTATCATTATCATCCATCCTTATTTGAAGCTTTCCAGAATTTCTTTAGAAAACTATTATTAGATTCAAATTCGTATAAATTCTATAAATTCCTGAAGTCAAGTGATTTGACGCGCATTGTTATAATAGGAAATTTTGACGAAACTCCTGAACAATGACCATTCTTTATATAGAATAAAAAACACCGTTTTTGTGTCTATATTTGATTCTACCGGCGTAGTCGGCGCAGTAAACTGGTTACCAATAAAGTTTCAATTTATTTTTTTTGGAAAGTAACTTTTATAAATTCAATAAAAAAATTTAATCCAATCAATTACTTTAAAGTAAATTTGATATTAAAAAGGTTATATTTATAGGTATTGCTAAATCTCATCACAAATGATTCTTACTGCACTAGTATTAGCAAATATCAACAGGCAGAGTTTCATTAACATTTTTAATTCTGCCTAAAATTCTATTCTAATTCTGGTATCACCAGCAATTCTACCAATGTAATTCAAATTTACAACCTTTCTAAAATAATTAACTATTCCTCTATGCAAATTATAACTCCTATTATAACTCCTAAAATTTTAAGCAAAAATTTTGTAAAAAATCTATATATTTTATATAAGTAATTTCTTTTTTTATTGCTATTTTCAAATTAGTATAATCTATATAGATCACCTATTTAAGGTAATAGGTATTTATAAATCTAAAAAATCCAGAATTTTCTTGGATAAATATGTAGAAAAGGGCAATTATTAGCAATTTTTGAAGGAATTTATATAGAAATTTTAATTATTTAAGTAGTTTTCCTTAAAACTTTATGTAATATTACTATACTTTTAAGAAAAACTACTTAAATAACTGAAAATTTCCAATATTTCCTCTGGTAATCACTAATAATTGACCTTTCTCTATATAGTTATTCAGAAAAAATCTGGATTTTTCAGATTTGTGAATATTAATTTCTTTAGAGAAATAACTTATAAGAGATTACATTAATTTGAAAATGACAATAAATTAAAAATCACTGATAATAGCTGAATTCTAATCAAAAATTTCAGTAAGAATTTAAGAATTTATTGATTTTAGTATTATTTTGCTTAATTTTGGTCAAAAATTTCAGTAAAAATTTATTAATTTTGGTATTAATTTTGGTAGTAATAATTAGTATTAACTTTAATAAGAATTTTTTAATCATAATTCTTCATAATTCTTTATTGTTGTACATTATTATGACTCTTTTAATTATCTAATACTTATAATATAATAGTAATAAATAAGAAAAAATAAATTTGCATCTTTATTTTTTATATTATAATAACTTAAATTTATATATTTTAAATATAACCAATTTTTTTAAACTTATAATATACCAGTAATATCATTTAATAATAAAGTTTATATTTTAAAATTTAGATTTTATTTTAATTTTTTTTTTTTTAATTTATATTATTACTTTAATTAATTAAGTACTAATTTTTGAAATATATTATAACTAAAAATATTAGTATTTGGCCAACTTTTTATTAGAAGTCTGGTAAAATTTTTAATCATTAAAAATAATTTTTCTATAAACTAAAAAGAAAAAATACCTTTTTTTTTATATATTGCAATTAATAAATTTTTCTTTTTAGTTCATAGAAAAATTATTTTTAATAATCAAAAATTTTACCAGACTTTTAATAAAAAGTTAATATTAATATTTTAATTTTTATGGTAAATTTAGATCTAACATTCCTGTATAAATGCTTAAGTTTCATATCTTATCACATGATTTATATTTAAAATTTAATTGGCTAATTTTTAAATAAAAGTTTACTGATCTAATTCACAATTAATAATATTAAAAAAGTGGTTTATTAATAGTTTTAAAAATTATTTATTTAATTATTTTATATTACCAGATTTTATATTAACTCTACTTTTTAAAGAGGAAGAATAATTAGAAATAAAAGGATCAAAATAAATAAAAAAATAAATGAAAATTAAATGAAAGAGATGAAGAAAAGTAAGGTTTAAACAAAAAGAAATGAGAAGAAACAAAATTAAATAAAAGTAGAAAAGAAAAATAAAAATAAATGAAATGAACGATAGAAAAACAGAAATTAAAATTGCATAAAAAGGAATAAAAATTGAATGAAACAGATAGTAAGAATGGAGTGGATAATAATAATAAGTTTTATTTACCTTAACTTCAATAGTCAAAACTATTTTAAGAAGCCATTTCAAAATTAACTAAAAAGAACATAGTTAATAAAAGCAAAGAAAAAAACTAACATAATAGAAAAGTGATAAAATAACAAACAAATCTCTAGAAGTTAATTTGAAATTTGGCAAAAAAGAAATGCAAAGGAGTATGTATTGTAAAAGAAAAATACATTTAAAAAAAATGATGATAAACAAATAATTATTTATTAATCATATGATAATATTCATCATACTAGATTAAATTGTATCATCTTCTGTGAAATATATATTATTCTTAATTTTATATTGTATTTTAAATTAGTACTTTAATTTGAATTAATTTAAAATTCACTCCAGGTTATTTTTAATTTTAATCACCCGAGGTGATTACTTTAATTTTTAAATTTAATTTCACCCTCGGGTTATTTTAAATAAATTTTAATATTATTTCATCTCAGATGATTTTAAATTTTTTTTCACCTGGGGTGAATTTAATTATTTTTAAATTTTTTTTCACCTGGGGTGAATTTAATTATTTTTAAATTTTATTTCACCTCATCCTATTTGTATGTCATACAAACACTTTCAAATAAATATTTGTCTCACTAAACTATTTTCGTTTATAAAATGTGATAATTAATGCAGTATTACTTATCCTTGCAAATTCTTTATTATAATGGAATTAGACTGGGAATCCTACATAAATTTTCCCAAAAATAGCGAAGATACCTTTTATATATCTTTTCCCGAAAGTAATAGTAATGAGTTAAAGAATATTACTCCTCTTAATAGTTATTTTTCCATTGAGTTAGAAAATATTACTATATTTTCTAATAGTTATTTTTCCGTTGAAGATACTAGTATACCTCCAAACAATAATTTTTCTGTTGTAGAACCTCTATCTAATGCAATAGAATCTATAGAACTATCTGAATCTTTATCTAATAATATAAGCACTTCTGATTATTCTACTTATTAGTATAATCTCACTATTGGAAATAGTTTTGATGACTGAAAATCTGTTGATAGATTTATACACAAATATTGCCTACTTGTATTACCGTGACTGCTGGCACGAGGTTAGTCAGGACTGATAGAAGGAAAGAGACTTTGGTTATCAGGTTTATTGAAATGATAAAGATTTAAATGATTATACTATTACCTGTCACAAATCATTTCGTTATTCTCTAAGTGGTAATTATGAGGCACGTAAGAAAATTAATCAGAATGAACATCGTGTGCGAGATTCTAACAAAACAGAATGTGAGTGGCATTGCAACTTCAAATTACCAAAAACAGAGCAACAAATAAGATGTACAATATTAGTAGATGTATATAATCATGAATTAAATTCCACTGAGATTGCTCATCTTAATGCAAGATATCGTTAATTCAATGATAACATGGTACAGGTCTACAGGATTTGAGATTTTTTATAGATTGCAAGGTTGCGCCCATTATACAATTAGAGATTCTTAAGAAAAAACATCTATATCATGTTTTTCATAAGCAAGATGTCTATAATTCAATCTATAAGCTACGTGAAAATTGTAAAAATGAATTTCCAGACAGGATCCTGCTTACTTATAAGATAGGTCACCCCCAGGCCTAAGATAAAAATCATATATAAAATTCTTTGCAGATCCTACTATAAAAGGAAATTTTATGTTACATTGTTATGATTTTTTTTCTTTTTAGCTAATTAACCAATAGAATTTAAGAAAAAAGTAAGGTAAAAACTATTAGTAAAGGGCCAATTTTTTACGGTAACTTTTATTATAAGTAAGCGGGTCCTCTCCAGACTCTGGTTCATTTCTTAATAGTTTTTTTAAAAAAATGACTGAGGATCTGAATTGGAAAGTGTTTATTCGTCACTCTGGTAATGAACGTCATTTATCGGGCATTTTTTAGATATCATCTGAGCAGCAGGATTTGTATCACCGTTTTCACAATGTATTATTGAATGACAATACATGCAAAACTAACAAATACAACATGTATCTAAGTGTATTCATAGTCAGGGATAATTATGGAAGGTTCTGAAATGTGGCAAATGCATTTGTAGAGGATGAAATGGCATCTACATATATATGGATCCTGCAATGCTTAATAAAAGTAACTAATAATTTGACTCTAAAATCATTTTGGACTGATTCTGAATCTGATCTAATCAATACATCATCTCATGTTTCCCCAATAACACCTTATTTTTACTGTCTTTTTCATATATGGCAGAATATTATAAAACATCTTAAAGCAAAATTAGGTGAAAATTTTCTTTCTTTTAGTAAAGCATTTTATTCATGTCAAAATGCTTTAAGTATTGAATTGTTATTGTTTAAACAAAAATGGAAATCAATGATAGATTTATTTCCAGAATGTCAATCTTATATGACAAAAGCTTTATATCTTAATCATTCTAGTTGTGCTAAATCTTATTTACCATTCCAATTTAATGGTAGAATACAAAGTACTCAAAGCGTTGAATCTTTTAATGCTATTATTAAGAAAGCAGTAAACAGCACTAGTACTAGTACTTTCTGTAAGGTTGCTTGCTGAAACCCATTTGGCCTAATGCGAAATGTCGAAACTCTTATATTGTAGCGAAATGCCGAAATGCCAAAACTCTTATATTGTAGCGAAATGCTGAAATGCTGAAATCTGCCAAAACTTCCTAAAATGCTGAAACTTCTATGACTCATTTATCTATAGTTTCGGTATAACTAGCTATAAGATCTTAATATAGTTACGCCATATTTATCTTTTTTTAATAGTATACATATTAGTTAACAGAGCTGTTGATCACTCGGTATTTTTATTATTTTTCTTCCAACTTTTTTTTACTTTATAATATTTACATTATGATTGTGGTAAAAAAATGACTATTATTATATAATTGTAATAATATCATATAAAATGTTATATATGTATAACGCGTTTTTACATTTTTTATTAATAACCCCTATTAACTAGTGTTTGTATCCGGTTAATATCTGGATAAAAAAATCTGTTACCGTTAAGAATTTTTAAATCCGATTATCCAGAAAAATTATTTTTTGCTAAACTGGGCTTAATCTGTGATATTTGTGAATAACTAACAGGTTATAAACAGATTTGTATCTGGATATAAAAGTAAATAACCCATGAACCTAATATAATTTTTTCACACAGTTTTATTTGTATTTATAGATTTATAAAAAAAAAATAAAAAATTTTTATTCAAAAATTGCTTTATTGAAATTCATTATGAGATTTATATAAAGTATATAAGTATATAATAGAATAATAAATTCTAAACGTCAAGAATAGTTACTTGTTGAGCTGAAGGGTGAATACTAGCAAAATAGTGACTATTTCATTTTAAGAATATAACACGGCTAAATAACTCAGGTTTAATTCATGTTCTTTTAACAGTTAAAAGGTTACCTGCATCTGAGAATAGTCATTCTGAAGGAGTAGATGCCGCTCGAATGCCTAATATCTTTCTAGATAATTGGCTTAAAACTGGAAATTTTTCTTTTTTTTCATTCTACTAAGCATATAGATCTTTTTCAAACGGAATCTCTTCTAATGCTAAATAATCACCTATTTTATTTTCGGTTATTAATAGTTTAGTAAAGGCATCAAATAGTGATCTTTTTTTTTCGCTGAGATGAAGCTGGAGGTGAGGATGAAGCAGTAGAGGGTTGGTTGGACTTTATTTCATTATATTTATTTTGCAATTCATTTTCTGCAACTTGCTTTTGGTCTGGCGTAAATGATTGTAATTTTTTAAAATGTGGATCAAGAAGGACAGCCAGAAGAGCTTCTGATGATGCTGGATTAAAATAATGAATCATTGCATCATACAAATTTTTTTTTACTTGATCTAAAATATTGCGAGTATTAATAGGTGTATTAATTTCCCTATTTTTTTCTAATTCAGAAACTTCCCCAAAAGCATCAACAGTTCTATCAAGATTAATATCAGTAAAGTTATTGTTACTTGAAGATGGACGAATCCATTTCATAATTTCAATTATAGTGGGATTCATACTACTGTAAGTACAATATTTGCTTCCACCTAAATAATCTGTTGCGTCTGCAAAATGTGAAAGTACTTTAGTTAAATCCAAAATTAATGACCATTCGTCCTCTGTTATCATTATATTTCTTAGTCGCTTTGCATCCTTTTGGGAATCAGGATTAGACTCAAGCTTAAGGTGATTAAGTAATCCCTTAATGTATCCTTTTAGTTTGATAAGACGATTCCAAGCTAAGTAACTAGAATTTCATCTAGTTGAAACGTCAGCAATAGTATTCAGATATTTAGAAATTTTGGAAGCATCCTAAAATAAAGTAAATTAAATAGAACGTGTATGTAGTCAATATTATTTAATAAATTTTAATTTATTTTTTAAAATGAATTGTTTTAACGTGTTTTCAGTGTATTTACATTTCATATGGTGGCCGTCACCTATAAACCACACTAATATTATGTGACTTCAAATTTTTATAAATTGTAAATTGAATAGTAAAAAAAAAAAACTAAACCGATAAAATGATAGAACAACATGTACTGAACATTTCTATCGGGTTATTTTATAGAATTTAATAAGAATTTTAATTAATATTATGGGTTAAAGTTAGATAATTTTAATAAGTAGCCATAATAAAAACATAAAATTTCAGACTAGTTTTTATGTAATTTTTATGGATTTTACAAAAATTCCATGGAAATCCACAAAAATTCCATGTAATATAGCAAAAAAAAATTTTGCTGCTTATGCGGCAATTATTATATTTTAGCAAAGTACTTTAAAAATAAGTTACACAATATAAATAAATAAAATTTTAAATTTCGGACTATTATTAATATTGTTGTTTATAGGTGACGACCACCATATTACATTTTTTCCTTATTATTAATAAAAAAAATAATTAAATCAATAATATATACTACAGGCTCTTCACCTTCCTTATTATTAGCAAGAGAAGGATGGTCTTTTTGAATCTTTTTAAGCCTTTTGGACTGTTTAGGCGGCATAAAAAAATCTATCAAACGTTTTACCCGTAATATCAGAGTTTTCGCTACATGCAGTCCCTTTCCTACTACCAACTGTAAAGTATGTGCAAAACAGCCCATCCAATTAACTCCATTTAACAATTTAACTGCCTTTTTTATATTTAAGCCATTATCTGTGGTGATTGTAGCTGTAATATATCTTATTTTCCATTTCTTTAAAATACCTTCAAAACATTCAGCTATATGCTCAGCGTTATGTGGATATTGGACATATTCTATCGCAAGTATAACCTCTTTAAGGATGAATTCTGGATCTATATACGAACATGTAATTTCAAGAAATCCTTTCTGATTCCTGCCAGTCCACAAATCTGCTGTTAGTGCCACACACAGGTAAAATGCTGACCAATCGGGTACCTACCTGATTGGTAACTTTTTTTTTGATCAGTCACCTGATTTATTTGATAGTTAGAAATTGTTGTATACTTCAATCGGGTATCAATAAGGTTATTACCCAATTGATAACTATCGTATAATTTAAATTTACTGATTGTTTTATATTTGATCAATTGGTATTTAAGTTTAACTTTTTTTTAACTATAATATTGGCTGATCAATAAGATTGCCCGAAATAACAACACGTGCTGTATTGAATATAACGGTTTTAGCTTCAGATTACCTTCTTTTAGATGAAGTTAAAGCCAATCTTTAAAAGTTAAACCAATCTTTAACTCATTTTTTTCTTTATTTTACTTTTTAAATAAAACGGAAAGTTTTTTGACATTTCGTTTTTTTTATTTTGAATTTTTATTAAAATTTGTCAGAATGTTTGTTAACGTTCCGATTTATTAATTTTTTTATGGAAACATTTTTTCTTTAAAAAAAATCTACCAGAACATTAACTAACGTTCTGATTTATTAATTTTTTTATGGAAACATTTTTTCTTTAAAAAAAATCTACCAGAACATTAACTAACGTTCCGATTTATTAATTTTTTTATCAAAACATTTTTAACGTTTTGAACACTTTTTTTTTAAAAAAAAATCTATAGGAACGTTAACTAACGTTCCGATTTATTAATTTTTTTATCGAAATATTTTTAACGTTTTGAATACTTGTTTTTTAAAAAAAAATCTATAGGAACGTTAACTAACGTTCCTATTTATTAATTTTTTTATCGAAACATTTTTAACGTTTTGAATGTTCTTTTTTTTAAAAAAAACCCATCAGAACGTTACCTAACGTTCTGATTTTTAAATTCTTTTATTGAAACATTTTTAACGTTTCGAATACTTGTTTTTTAAAAAAATCTGTAGGAACGTTAACTAACGTTCCTATTTATTAATTTTTTTATCAAAACGTTTTAACGTTTCGAATGTTATTTTTTTTAAAAAAAACCTATCAGAACGTTACCTAACGTTCAGATTTTTAAATTCTTTTATCGAAACGTTTTTAACGTTTCAAATACTTGTTTTTTTAAAAAAAAATCTATCAGAACATTTGTTACGTTCCAATTTTTTAATTTTTTCTCGCCCTGTAAAAAAAGTCGATCCATTTTTATTTTCCATCTTTTTATTTGTAAAAGGTTCATATTTCTGATATCATGGAATTTATCAAATTGTTCATATTTTCCGTGACAGAAATAACGGTCGATTTCGTCATTTCGACACTATTCTGACTTGTATCAGATAGATCATTGGATCCGATGAATAACAGATTATCAGATCAATGATCTTTTTTTTTATAAAAAAATAAAAAAAAAAGTTTATTTTTTATTAACCTTCCCACAGAACTAACAGAATGTTGGGGGATTTTTTAAATAATGGACGTTAGTATCATTTACTAACGTTCCATTTTCTTTTTTTTTTATTGTAGGAACCTTCAAGACGCTTCGAAACTAACGAAACATCTCGGAAGGTAAATAAAGAAGGGAAGGGGGAATTTTTTTTTAAATAATGGATGTTAGTGTCATTTACTAACGTTCCATTTTCTTTTTTTTTATTGTAGGACCCTCAAAACGCTTCAAAACTGACGAAACGTCCTGAAAGGTAAATAAAGAAGGGAAAGGGTGAATTTTTAAATAATGGACGTTAGTGTCATTTACTAACAGTCCAATTCTTTTTTTTTTATTGTAGGACTCTCAAGACGCTTCGAAACTGACGAAACGTCTTGGAAGGTAAATAAAGAAGGAGGGGAGTATATTATTTTTAAATTATGAACGTTAGTATCATTTACTAATGTTCCATTTTCTTTTTTTTTATTATAAGACCCTCAAGACGCTTCGGAACTGATGAAACGCCTGGAAGGTAAATAAAGAAGGGCGTGATTTTTTTAAATTAGGAACATTAGTAGGCATTACTAACGTTCCATTTTCAAATTTTTTTTAGGAACGATCCCGGACTTCAATATGAATTTTGGATCAGTAAGTTTCGAAAGTTTACTTAAACTTTCAAAACTTTTAATATTTTTTTTAAAAAAATAATAATTTAATTTAATTTTCTTTGTTTTTTAGGTACATTGGCTCCGATCTTTGAACTTGGACTTTAGATCGGTAATGGCAAGTTTCGAAGAGCTTAGCTTCAAAACTTTTTTTTTTCTTTGTTTTTTAGGTACTACCGGTTCCCTTGGATATGGATCAGTAACGGTAAATTTCAAAAAGTTTCGTTTTGAAACTTTTTTTAATATTTAAAAAAAATATTTAATTTTTTTTCTGTTTTTTTTGGCACTATCAGCTATTGGTTCCGATCTTTAGAATTGGATCGGTAACGGTAAGTTTTGAAAAGTTTCGTTTTAGAACCTAAAAAATATTTATTTTTTTTTCTGTTTTTTTAGGTACCATTGTCTCCGATCTTAGACTTGGATTTGGATCAGTGAGTTTTGAAAAGTTTCATTTCGAAACTTTTTTTACCAGATCCTAGAAAAGTTTCAAAAGTATAAGAATATGATAATATTCACAGGTCGAAGGGGCACCATTGTCCAAAATTCAAAAAATGCAAATTCCCCATTTTTCTGGAAAATGGTGGGAAATTGTGGAAAATGCTACATTACGCTGAGCAATTTTTTGGAATAGCATTGTTACAACATTGTCCGATTTAGCAAATCTTATGAAATTTTGGGAAAATACTACATTACACCTCAAATGTAACATTTCGTAACATTGTTATAACATTGTTAATTAAATCAAATTTTGCTTTTTTTTTGTCAAATGGTGCATTTTTATGAAAATTCTGCATTTTGCCACCAATGTAATATCATTGTAACAACATTTCATAACATTGTTATAACAT